GTGTGATCACGATCACAATCATCCTGTTTTTCGTCGATTGCCTCGAGCAGGCACCTGTAACGTATCCTTCTTCCTTGCCCTGAGATTTTAAAAGAGCCATTTCAATGCTCTTTCAGGATTAGGAGAATGAGACCCATGATTGTTACTAGTATTTGGCATATTGAGTATGACACGGGAAGTTTGCCAGACTCTGCCGTGTGGGCAGGATACTTTTGGTAGCCTGCCAGGTTCTCCAAAGGAAAAATAAGATAATAAGATGTCGTGAGGCTGCGAATGCTGCCACACACTTCCGGGAGCTGAGTTTTATAGTCTCTGCATCTTGGCTGTTGATGGGACCAACCTGGCGCTGGTGGCAGCTGGTGGGTGTGACACCTACCTACTGGAAGATGGGGGATCTGGTTGGAGAAGGCTAGTCCCAATCCAAGTAGGCTTGGAGACCTCAGCCCCAGGACCCGCATGCCTGGGTTCCTCTGCCAGTTCTTTCATGCATGAGGCCCGTCTGGACGGTGGAGAGTGGTCCCAGCATGGCCGTGACTGGCTCCGGAGGTCCTCAGCTCCTGGGGCTCTGTTCAGGGCGGGGGGTGGGGAGAGAAACTCAACCCTCCCCGCTCCAAGGGGCCCCGGTGAGGACAGCCAGGCACAGGGGCAGGAGACTCTGTGCTGTTCTCCTCCAGGAGCTGGGTTTTATAGTCTCTGCGTCTTGGCCATTGATGGGACCAACCTGGCGCTGGTGGTAGCTGGTGGGTGTGATGCCTATCTAAAGGAAGATGGGGAGTCTGGGTGGAGAAGGCCCAGTCCTAATCCGAGTAGGCTTGGAGACCTCAGCCTTGGGACCTGCATGCCTGGGTTCCTCTGCCAGTTCTTTCAGAATGTGATATAATTTAGAAATGGGGTGCTGCAGATATAACTAGTTAAAATAAGGGCCTACTCCCTGTATTGAGCTCTTTTGGGGGTGGGGGGTAGTGTTGGGATCCAAACGCGCAACCCAGAGCCTCATCCAGCCAAAGCCTGTGCTTGACACTCAGCTGCATCCCAGCCCCTCTAAGGTGGATGCTGAGCAAATGTAAGTGGAGAAGAAACAGGGACAGATGTCAGAAGGCCAGGAGCTAACAGGTAGGGCTGAGGGGGATGGAGCCACAGCCAACAAGCGTCGAGGGCAGACGGCTACCACCACATGCCAGAACGAGGTAGGGGAGGTTCTACACAGACTCTCAGAGGGACATGGCTTGTCAACACCCTGTTTTGGACCTCTGGCCTCTAACTTGTCCAAGAATAAACTCTTGCGGTTTTACACTGCTGTTTGTGACTTCTGTCCCTGCAGTCAGAGAAACCGATGTATTTGGTCATCCATCCCCCTGTTCATCTCGAGTTCTAGCGCTCTAGATGGACTAGGTGTCCTAGAGTTCTAGGTGTCCCCATGGGCCTACTTGGATCTCAGTTACAGGATGGGGCTGAAGCCGATGCAGCAGTGTGATCATTTCCAACTATTATTGTCATACTAGTCCCTTCTATATCTTACTTACCCTCTGCTCCCCACATACTTGTGGTATATTTCAACCATTAACCAATCTTCCTGGTCCCTCTTTTCCTTGGCCTCGGATATTAGTTTCATACATTTTTTATATACCACAGATGATTGCAGTTATTATATATCTATTCCTCTCCTTCTGACATATTTTATTCATCATGATATTCTCCTTGTTCATTCATTTATAGGCAAATTTCATGACTTCATTTTTCTAATAGCTGTGTAGTATTCCACTGTATAGATGTACCACAGTTTCTTTATCCAGGCATTTGTTCTCAAGCACTCAGGTTGTTTCCAGATTCTGGTTATTGTGAATAGTGCTGCAGTGAACATAGAAGTGCAGATGGTGTTTCTTTTGTGTGTTTTTGAACCCCCAAGTGATATTCCTGGTAGTTGCATGTGTTATTTTGGATACCATTTTGAACCCCCTTTCTAATCTGCCCTTTTACACTGGGTTCCTCCCAGCTCTTAGCTTCTCTTTGTGCTTATTCCTCTGCTCCTCATCTGAGGGTAAACCTTCCTTCCCTCTCCCTTCCTGGCACCCTACCTTACCCTCCCATTCACTGCCTCTTCACAACCTTTGCAAAATTCTAGGCATCAGTAATCTCTATATTTGATGACTTTCAGACCCTCATTTCTATCAAAGTTGGCTCCAAATTCTTCAGAAACAAAATACCCAACTGGTTGGCATTTCATCATTTTAAAACTGAGCCTGGGGGGTTGGAGCGAAAGCACAGTGGGTAGGGCATTTGTCTTGCATGTGGCCAAACTGGGTTCAATCCCCAGAATCCCATATGGTCCCCTGAGCACCGCCAAGAGTAATTTCTGAGTGCAGAGCCAGGAGTAACCCCTGTACATCACCAGGTGTGACCCAAAAAGCAAAAACAAACAAACAACAACTGAGCCTGTTCAAAATGGTATTCGTAAACACCCCTTTTCCATTTCAAAACCCATCTTGTCCTCTCTTGGAGTACAGGGTCATTCTCCCATTTTTTGCAAATAAGAAACCAGGAAATCTTCCCATATGTCACCTCAACTCTCAAGTCATTAAATCCTACCATTTCCACTCCTTAAAGATCTCCTGCCCTTTTTGCCCCGACGAGACCACGAGTTGCCCCCCACAAGCGGCTCTCCGGCATGGCCATGGCCCCAGAGGCACACAAACCAATCTTGGAACTATGCAGCTTTTGGCAGAAATCTCTCCAGACTTAATTAAAATAAATATCAGAAATATCAGAAATCCAAAATTGTGCGGCCCCTATTGCGTCTGTGCGACATCATATGGTCTACATAACCAGCAATAGAAAACAAATTATTTCACGATGCCTTTTCAGCAGGTTTGATTGTTGGGAGAAAATTCCAAATACTAATGATGCATATTTTGTCGAAATAATAAATGTAATCAAAGTAGAGAGAGAGTCAAGTGGAAATCATCTGCCTCACAGGCATGGGGAGGGGTGGGATGGGGGGTATATTGGGGTTCTTGGTGGTGGAAATATGCACTGGTGAAAGGATGGGTGTTGGATCACTGTATGACCAAGACTTAAACCTGAAACCTTTTAACTGTTCTCAGGGTGATTCAATAAATAAATTTTAAAAAAAGATCTCCTGCCATCATTTCTTCTAGTCTTTTCAAAACTACAATAGAATTGTACAATTGGCCTATGCCTAACTTATTTCTAGGCTTCTACAGAATCTTTTAAGTACCTTTTAAGCTGCCCTTCTACTATCTTTTCTTGTTATTGTAGCTACATGAGGAGGGGAGGGGACTCCCAAATGATGCTCAGGGACCCAAGGGACACTCCATATGAAATGCAGCCAAATATGTGAGCTGGTTCAGTTCTAGGGCTCTGTAGTGGGGAACTGCTCAAGCCTAGAGGTAGTGATAGTGAGCACCACCCCGATAATACTCCAGGTCTACACTCAGCAGTGCGGTGGTCTATGCAGTGCCTAGAATCAGAACTTGGGAGTCTCCCTTGCATGAGCTCTGGCCTTCTGAGCTTGCTCCCCAGATAATACAGGGTTTTCTGTTTTCCTTTTTTTGGCTTTTTGGGTCATACTTGATGATGTTCATGGGGTTACTCCTGGATCTGTACTCAGGAATTACTCCTGAAGGAGCTCAGGGGACCCTATGGGATGCTGGGGATTGAACCCGAATCAGTCCCTGCAAGCAAATGCCCTACCTGCTATACTATCGCTCCAGTCTCCAGTTACATTTTTGGAAGAAAAATTGTGTATGCTTAATGGCCTTTCCTGCTCCCAGTCACGGCTTCCCTGACAGGCCACTCACTTTCCCCTTCCTCTTTCCTGTCACCATCCCAGGATCTCCTCCTGATAAAGACTTAAGAGACATGGGATCTTACTCAGGATGCGAACCTATCCTCAGACGTAGTTTGGGAAACCAGTAAACCAGTACCTCGATCTAAAAATGAAGAAAATTCGAGGTCCAGGCTCACACTGCTTTCTCTGTTCCCAGGGTTGCTCTCCCGTTTTCCCTGGGGACACCTTCCTGAGCCCCTCCCCTCACTGGTCCTCTGTGAGCAGAGGGCTTCTGGGCAGCAGCTTATTTTGGAGGAATATTTTGATGCAAGAGAGGGAGGGAGAGGATAGAAATATCTTTTAAAAAGACTTCTGTTTTGAGAATGTTTTGAATTTAAGTATCATTGCTCTGTGAAGTAGCTTTGCCTCTGGGTCATAAGTGTGTTAACGAGATATGAACCCCAACCAACACACATGTGCATGGTGGACCATGATCCCCTACCAACATACACACATATGTAGGGTGGAACATGAACTCCTATCAACACACATGTGTATGATGAGAACATGATGCCCCTCTAACACACATGTATGATGGGACCATTAATCTCTACTAATACACATGTACAATGGAAGCATAAACCAACACACATGTATATGATGGAACATGAACCCCTGTCAACAAACACGTGTATGATAGAACATGAAGCCCCTCTAACACACATGTATGACTGGACCGTGAATCCCTCCCAATGCATGTGCCTGATGGAAGCAAAAAAGCCCTTACCAACACACATGTGTAGGATGGGAACATGAACCCTTACCAACACACATGTATATGATGGACACACACACACACACACACACACAGTGTCACGGGTCACAGTCTTCACTCACTCACAGGCTCACCTTCCTGACATCCTGACACCCAGCCTGGCCCTGACCCCATCCGGAGATGCGTTTCACTGAACATCCTCCGCAGGCACCTGGGGGGGTGGGGGAGTGCGAGCGGGGGGTGCACGGGGTTCCCGGCAGCCAGAGGCGGGCGTGAGGCCCCTCCCGCCGCCCCCCGCGGGCTCGCTCGGGCCTCCCGGGGCTGCGGGCCGGCTCCCGCGCTCGGCGCACCTGACCGGCGGGCGGGGCGGGGCGCGGGGCTGACGTGGCGGCGGCTGGCGGCGGCCGTGCAGCCTCCCGGGCGCGGGCGGGCGGGAGGGATGGGGGCGAGCGCGGCGGCCGCCTAGGGCGCCCGGGACCAGCAGCCGCGGCGTCCGCCTTCCCGGCCGGGCCTCGCCCAGCGCAGCCTCCGCCCCGGCGGCCGGGCCCCCGCGGAGGGCAAGATGGAAGAGATCCTGAGGAAGCTGCAGAAGGAAGCGTCGGGGAGCAAGTACAAAGCCATCAAGGAGAGCAGCACCTGGGCCCTGGGTAAGCGCGCGCCGCCGCACCTGCTCGCCGCCGCGGGAGGCCGCGCGTCCCCGGGGCTGGCGGCGGGTGGCGCGGACCCAGGAGTTGACTCGGCGCCGGGATGCGCGACCCGAGCCTCTGGCTTCGGGCGGTGACAGCCGCCCCGCTTCTCCTCGCTTGCCATCTCTTTGCAAACCCGACCCTCCCTGAGAACCGCTGCCTTCGGTTCTGGCCGGCCCGGCGCTCCGGGTCTCCGGCTCCATGGGCTGGGGTCACCCCCCACCCCAACCCCCCTCCGTCTCGGAGTTGGCAGCCCCAGCTGGGGAGAACCACCCAGGGAGGGGTCTGCTTTGGTGGCACCGTGGGTTAGAGGGAAGTTACCCCCATCACCCAATGCTGGCGAGTGCCGCCGGGCAGGGAGAGAGGATTTCATTAGATTTTTTTTTTTTTCCCCAGAGGCCAGCCTGTTAAATGTTAGCTTACGTGGTGGTTGCCTCTGAAAAAATAAACACACAGAGGGATTGTATTACCGCTGCTCCTGGGATGTGCTTCGCCTTTCAGACAGGTGGGATTCTAGATCCCCGAGCGGTGCGAGCCTTTGCAAGAAGTTGCAGGTGGCGAATTTGTGTTTGCCCATCAGGCTCAGGTGGCACAACATCACCTCGGAGCAAGCGGAAAGGCGAGAAAATTGGGCAGGAACTGGGGCGAGCGAAAGGGTCCTGGAGGGAGTTTGGGAGACAGGGATGCCTTCCGTGGAAGGAAATTCAGGGAGCGAGGGAGTGGGGAGGGGGGGACCAGGCAGCTTGGTTGGCGGTGGCTGGCCTTGCTCAAGCCTGCAATTGATTTCCCAGTTGCAGCTCAATTAAACCGTTTCCCGTATCCAGAAAACAATCGGCACTTGTGACGCCGTATTGTATGGGGGGGGGGGGGGGACTAGACAGAGATGAGTGCCAATATTATTGACACCAAATGTAGAATTCTGGTGGCGTTTGGGGGATTCCCTTAATATTTAAATGTTTAGATGTGCAATCCCAGTAACATTCTTTTTTTTTAATACCTGTGAATATCCTCCTAAAATTACCTCAAATATAGTCTAAGAAGTTTATCTTGTAGGTTGAACCAGAACGTGATCATTTAATTTTACTGTCAAACAAAAATGGACTAGATAAATAAGTGAGCAGTGAGGCCCTTAAAGCTACAGTACTGTTTTTGCATTGCTATTGTCATTCAGCAGAGCCCTTGAGAGCTGGGTTCTAATGAAGGGTCACAGCTGGCTGAGTAACATAATAAAGCAGGGCCTGACTCCACTCTGAACAGGCCATTCCTTGTGTGCATGATTCTTTTTCTTCTTCTCTTTTTTTCTTTCTGTAAATTAAGCAGATTTAGATAACAAGGAGGAGAGTAAGCTGGTATTTTTCAGGGCTCAGTTTTGACACTCAGCCTCTTGGGGCTGAGTCTAGGTCCTTAAAGCTGCTCCAGAAAGCCAGAGCTTAAAAAAAAAAAAATCAGAGCTGTGTTGAACCAGGCCTCCCAGGCTGATTGTTAGGGAAAATGTGATTCATCTTCCAGTACCTTCTCTACTTACCAAGAGGATGATGGGCTTGAAATAGTTAATACTAATGCAGGGCAGTTATTGTATGGTTAAATCTAGAACCAAGAAAATAGACCACAGAAGAGTGGGTTAGGAATTGGGGAGGATTGCTGTCAACTGGTGGGGTTTTTGTAAGAGATTTGATGTGAAGACTGTGTTAGCTGTGGGGCCATCTCTCTCTCTCTCTCTCTCTCTCTCTCTCTCTCTCTCTCTCTCTTTCTCTCTCCCCCCACTTTTTTGTTACTACTTGGTGAGTATTTAGGAAGACCTCCCATTAACTGAACAGCAGGAATATGAGAATAAAGGAAATGCCTCCTTCCACTAAGGAGTTTGTTGGAAGAGCTCATCAGAAGGACTCTGTACCAAAGGAGACAGTTTCCTCGATTTCCCACATCAGTCCTTTCCCACTGTTTCATCACTGTTTTTACTCTTCATCCATCACACCTCTCCCCACTGTGATTTCCTTACAGAGTGGAATTTCCTTTGAACAGCTTTAGAAACTTGCCTCAGTCTCCTTTCTTATAACTGCACCCACTCCAGCCTTCAACCTTCTAGTACTATCTTCCTGGAACATGCAGTGAACTCCTCCCTGCTTTTGCTCATGCTAATCCTTCTGCCAGGAATTTCCTTTCCAGGTTCCCAAGGTTCAACTGAGAATCACAGCTTCCCCTGAGCCCCTCAGTTGAATTATTTGTTCCTCTGGGTGCAGGGCCCTACTGTCGTGACTCCACGAGCATCTTCTGCTTTGGTCATAGTTGCTTGTCGCTCTAAAAAAATGACTTTCTGGAGCAGCATCATTGAGACCTGAGGCACAAGCATGAATTCAGGCTGACTTATGCAAAAGGGAATCTAGTCACTCTGTTAATGGAACCCTTCCCCCCCCCATCCCCCTGAAAGACTCATTGTGGATTGTGTTTGGTTCCAGTATGAAACATCCTTTCCAGTACTTAGTTCTTTTGTAGAGTGATGGGCATGCTCTGCATGAGAAGGATAGCAAGAGACATCCACACTTAGGCCAGCTCAAGAAAGGAGTCATCTCTCGATTATGCCATCATGGGGAGAGAGGAGCTTCTATACTTGGTGCATCTTAAAGGAAGGGACACTTAGAGGAGAAAGAGGCTGATGGCGAGCGCATCCTTGGAAAGTGGATCCATCTCCCATTCGTCTGTCAGAGGAGAGAGTGAGTAATGTGTCAGAATCACCTTCAGGTTCTTCCTCCTTGAGACCTCACTCACGACCTTAGTAGGTCTGTCTCATCATTCCTGCCTACTCCTTGATCGTACTTGTTCTCTCTGTGTCCTCATGAGCCACACATCTCTCCCCGAGCCAGTCTGGTCTTGATAAGCAATGCCATGGTCAGCAGTGCCATGACTTATCCAGCTTAGACCTGGACCACCAATCTCCTGAAAATCTCAGAGTCAGGGAAAGGATGGTTTCTTCCAAGTAAAAATTGCGTGCTGCCTTAGACAGTGGGAGAGTGAGTGCTGGGCAACCCAAACAACTAATGTTGGCTCTGTAGATGCAGCTTCTTCATCCCAGGAAGCTCCTTCATCCTTTATGCTTCCCTGGGGGCCCCCCTGCACCCGCACTCTGAGAGACAAATCTTCAATGCATAAATCAATACTTTGATGACTGATCTGAGTTGGAAGCGATATTATCTTTTTTTTCTATTTATACTTGTATGTGCTCATTTTAGAATATTGGAAAATGCTCGGGTAGCATAAAGACAAAAGTAAAATCACCCATGATTGTGCTACCCAGCTGTTGGAGTAATTCCCTCTGCTCAGGGATATGGCAGAAAATGGCAGAAGATCGGAGTATTTTTTGTTTCGTTAATTTGTTTGTTATTTTAACTTGAGGGTTTTCTTCTGCGCTATCAAAAAAAATGCTTCTTGGAAAATCAGGTTTCCTAACAACTGTCTTAACTGACAAGAAATACAGTTTTCCTTTAGTTTGGGTGAGCTAGGTTGCAGGATCTTATTAGTCAGTGAGGAAATGGTCTGAGGAGGAAACTGAAAATAACTTGGGAGGGGCCAGGGCGAGCCTGAAACAATAGCCGGCTGCTGTCTTTAGGAACTGCAGGGCTGGAGGCCCTTGAGCTGGGCATGGCAGGATGGGATGGGAATGGCAGAGCAGAACCACCACAGGGGAAGGAACCAGCTGTTCTAATTTACACACTTCGCACATTCTACATGCATTGGGGAAGGTAAGTGGAAACAATTTGGAAAACGAAGGAGAGGAGAAAGTTAAGAGGCCAGAACAATAAACAATGGGGAAGGTTTTTTTTTTGTTTTTTTTTTGTTTTTTGTCCCAGCACCCTCCTTCCCTCTCTCTTTCCACCTGCTTTTCCTTTCAGCCACAGTTTCTGACCTCTCATAGCCAACTGCTTGTTAGTACAGCGGGTCAGGTAGCACCTTGCATGCAGCCAAATTGGGTTCAATTCCTGGCACCCCTAAGGTTCTTTAGGCCCTGCCAGGAGTGATCCCTGAGCACAGAGCCAGGAGTAAGCCCTGAGCACTAACCCAAAAAGCAAAAAATAAAAGCGGGGGAGGAGTTTGTGGTGACAGTGCTCCCATCCTTCTCATCATCTTGCTGTCACTGACTTTCTCATTATCTTATTTATTGAGGGATAATAGCACATATAGTCCCCAATCCTAGCAGCCCTGCTCTCATCCTCGTCTCACACATCTTTGTGGTCACCCTGGATGTAGGTAGCCATCGCTGTAGCCCAGGTACCACACCCAGACCTCACATTTCTTAGCTGCTCTCTTTTCCAGGTCCAACTCCTTTCCCCAGAATACTTGAGTTTCTGGTACATAAGATAAAGGAGGAGGCCCTATTTTTTCCCACTTCCCACCCTCCCGGAGTTGGACACAGGCATGCCCACAGCTTTAGATTCGTTGCAGAAAATGCGCACATTTTTATATGCTCTGACAGCCACGTCTCCAAGCAGCTGCCTATTCGGCACGGAGCAGACCCTCAGGTAGGGGCCCTTTGACTGTACGTTTCAAGGGAAGACATAACACCAAATAACGTTTGCAGACACAAGATATAGCCTGAAAAGGAGTCAACCTGTGGGCAGCTCAGGATATAGGCCAGACCCTGTCCAGAAGAGATCCCAGCATTAAAAGTTCTCCTTGAAGAGAGAGAACAAAAGGGAGTGCCCTGCCACAGAGGCAGGGTGGGATGGGGGATGGGGGTGGGTGGAATACTGGGAGCATTGGAGGTGGAGAATGGGCACTGATGGAGGGATGGGTACTCGATCATTGTATAACTGAAACCCAAGCACAAAAATTTGTAAGTCTACAACTGTACCTCATGGTGTTTCACTAATAAAAATAAAATAAAATAAATAAATAAATAAAAGTCCTCCTTGACCAAAACACCATAATTTTGACCCTTCACCCAAACTAAGGGAGTTTGGAAAAATAAACAAATAAAACCATATCATTAACTTCCCCAAGCAACTTACTTCAGGAGTTCCTTGCAGCCCAATTAAATTTGTGAAATCTTTCTCTCCTCTGTGAGCACTCCATTTGGGAGCTGCCTGCAGCCCAAATCTGGGTGCAGAATTTTTCTCCTTCCTTTTCCAGAACTCCTTTCTGAGGCTGCCTTTATTATTTTTTTGAGGGTGTGAAGTTTTCTTTATGTTCATGACTCCTCTCTCTCAGGAAAAGCCTGCATTTTTCTTAGAATTAGTCTCCAACTGCCCCCATCCACCCATCACTACCACCAAAACCGCTGCACACATACATAAAGAAACTAACTTGTTTTAATATTTGTCTTCTCCTAAAATTCTTTTCTGCTGCAAAGACAAGAAACCTGGAACTTGGATGGAGGTTGGGACTGACTTTTCCTGGGTAGAGCCTGACAGTGCCTCGACCTGAACACCTCAGCTCCCAGAAATCCATACCGGGGCTTATTTAGGTGCAATAGAGTAAGGGGGTCTCAGGGGCAGTGAGGCTGGCAGGAGGCTCTGTCACGACAGTGTTTCTGTCATGCAGGAACTCAAGCAGATTTTACCAGTCCTGACTTCTCCAGGCGCAAGGACCCACCAACAGCCTCCTGGTGAGCTAGCAGGAGTGAAGTCGCTCGTCTGATGGGGTTCCCTCCCCTGTGCACTTGACCAACAGGAGCACCTCTCCTTGGATGTTATGTGCTCATTATAGCTACTCAAAGACTTCCTCGCTCTTGACCCTTTCTTCTAGTTCTCTCGGCTTTTTTTTTTAAGGAGTATTACACTTCAGGAGGCAAATAGAGAATCTTCCATCTCATGAGGAAAGCCTCCATGGTTTCACTGTTCAGTGGCAAATGCTCCCATTTGAAGCTTACTTGGGCACTGCCCTTGGGTACTGACTGCTGGACTCTACAGCCAGGGGATTCGGTGACTCACCTGTTGACTCTCAGCCAACCAGGCCAGCGGCTCAATGTACGCAGTCAAGGGTGCCAAACCATCTGTAGTCTAAGGGCCATCTAAGGGCCATCAGGGTCTTACCAGGGATGCTGGAGGCTTCTAGGGCTACACCCTGTGACACTTAGTGGGGCCATATAGTGCTAGAGATGGAACCAGGGTTGGGAATAGCTCCCTGGCTTCTGGGTCACTTTTAGGCTAATCTCAGTCCTTTCATCTCTTTTCTTGGCCCTTTGACCACACAGCACTATCTTACCTATCTGATCTTTTTATTTTGCTCATTTCTTGCTTTCACCTATTGTTTTGCCCCATTAACCACAGCAGTCCCAGATTTCTATTGCCATATTTTGGCCTGTTCTTGCCTCTGAGTCTCATGGATCCTTTTGGTATCTATTGTTCCTCTGGTCTCTCAGTAGAGTTAAGAGGCATGTTTCTTTTTTCTTAGTGAAAATGGTTCATATTGAAAGAGCTTGTTGACATTAATCAATGAGGAGCGAAGTCAATGAAGTTTGAGATGAAAAGAGATAAGTTGGAGCTTGTGATACTGTGATTTATAATAAACTTGATCTTCATCAGTATTCCTAACAGAGATTCTAAAACCTTTGCAATCTCTTAAGTGATGAAAGTGATAACATGACAAGTATCATTTGTTACATTAATTAGGTGGCCTATGGCCCTACCCTGTGGTTGAGATTGGTTTTAGGAGAACCAACTTTATGATTAGAGGGTTGGCATTCTGCATTTCTCCCCTTGATAAAAAGGGGGGAAGGGAGAGGGGTTTAAGATTGAGTTTAATTACTGATAGACAATGTCTTGCCTTCATCAGTCATACATTGTAATACATTGTAATAAAGCTTTTATCAAAAACCCCCAAATAAATGGGCTGGAGTGATAGCATAGCGGTAGGGCGTTCGCCTTACACGCGGCCAACATGGCCGACCCGAGTTCGATTCCTCCGCCCCTCTTGGAGAGCCCGGCAAGCTACCGAGAGTATTCGATATGCCAGACACAGTAACAACAAAGTCTCCAATGGAGACGTTACTGGGCCCGCTCAAGCAAATCGACGATCAACGGGAGGGCCTTTACCTTTACCTTTACCCCAAATAAGGGCTGGAGTGATAGTACAGCGGGTAGGGCTTTTGCCTTGCACACAGCCGACCCCGATTCGATTCCCAGCATCCCATATGGTCCCCCAAGCACTACCAGGACTAATTCTTGAGTGCAAAGCCAGGACTAACCCCTATGCATTGCCAACTGTGACCCAAAAAGCAAAACCAAACAAACAAACAAAAAACAAAAAACAAACAAAAAACAAAAAACAAAAACTAAAAAACAAAAACTAAAAATGTGGTTCAGAGAATTCCTGGATTGGTGAGCACATGGAGATCTGGGGAGAATTATAGCTCAGAGAGCATGGAAGCTCTTGGTCCTTTCCCCGTACTTGGCCTTACATGTCTTTTCTACCTGGCTGCTCCTGAATTACGTTCTTTTATGATAAACTCGGACTCTACTGAGTAAAATATTTAAGTTCCATGAACTAATTTAGCAAATTAGTGGAATCCAAAGAAGAGGTCCTGGGAACTTCCAACCTGTGACAGGTGGGACAGAAACTCATGTGATAATCTGGGTTTGAGATGCCAGCCTGGACTGGCATCTGAAATAGGGAGATCCAGATTTTCATGACTGAAGCCTTGACCTGGGGGGTTGTAAAACTGTGGGAGTTAAATTGTAGGGCACCCATTTGGGTGTTAGGAAATTGCCTGTTTGTGTGTTTCATATGGTGAATCACCTCTACTACCCACCCCATACACATGCAGAGACACACTGAAATTATAGGTAGATCCTTAGAATTATGGAGATAGAACAGTGTTTGGGCAAGAGAATAGTGAGCTTTTCATCATTGGCACAGTTGTAGATAGCAATGTTGAGAACAACCCACAGCTGTGATAACATACTCAACTTCCAGATTGGAATAATAAGATTTGGGGGATGTTTTCCAGTCAGTGTCCCTGACATATAGTAATCTACTATGTCATAAATATGAGAATAATGAGATGTACTAGTACTAGTACTTGGGAACTTAAAAGGCTTTCAAAACGATCTTATTATTTACGGGTGTTAAAATGATACTTTCAAGAAAATAGCTTTCCTTCTCTGCTTTTATTGCAAGAATATGACATTTTAGCAAGTTGTGCATTTTAGTTTCTTGTAACTAGATTAAATCAGCATTCTAGTTCACTTTAGGAGTTTTACTATTTGTTCTTCATCTTTATAGAAAAATTCTTCCCAATTTTTAACCTTCCTGAGGAGTCAAAATCAAGGAAGGGGGGGTTTTGAATATAGACGAGTTGCAGACAGAAAATTGAGACTTGATCAATTTACAGTTACAGGAATTTCCAGGGGAAAAAAAGAAACCAACATACAATGCAGATTTTCAGTCTTTGCCTATTTCTAACTTCATAAATTTTTTTACAGAAACCCTGGGTGGTGTGGATACTATTGTCAAGATTCCGCCACACTTGCTGAGGTAAGGAGACTGGCACTGTATAGCACAAATGAAAACTGTCCACTGTGTTTTTTTTGGAAGCTCAAATAACCTCATCAGTTTATAGAATCTTTACTTGCTGATCGATGATGTCTGTGGTATCAGTGAAGGGGGATATTTTATGAGTTAGCATGATAGAAACATGATTTCACTGATTTACACCTGTCTGTGACTTGTGTGAAGTTTGTGATGCAATCAGCTGTTGAAGTCAGATGTGGACAGTAAAATTGGTTAAGGAGAGAAATCACCAAAACCTTAACGAGGATATGGACAGATAAGGATATTCCTTTCTGGAAAACAATGGAATTGGGGGATGCAGTCTTACATCATGGGATTTAACCTCTCACTGGTCCCTGTATACCAGCTGACATTTGCAATCAGCACTGAGCCCTGGAACAAGAAGCTGTGTCCCCCATAGCCAGCTGCCACCAACTCCCAGCTTCCTGATTTTCTCCCACTCTCCGCACCAACATTTTTATAAGGGAAAAATACAAGCTTGCTGTGGAAAAGTTGGAGGGAATAAATAAGAAAGTTGCTTCTGATTATAAGGATAAAGTAAAGGTTAGCCCCTAACAACAAATAATATTGGCAGAATGCTGATTTTTTAAGAATTTTCTTGTTTCTCAAGTAGATTGAACAAGCATTATGTTTCTGTCTTTTAAAAAAAATCATTACCTCTCCTCTAATACCTGCTCCAGGTGGATGAATTATAAGAAAATTCATGTCTTAAACACTCCAGTATACTCTGGTGTGTATAAAGTTTCAAATGATAACCACTTTGTTGCCTAGACGGGGTATGTACCAGGTGGGGAACGAGAACACTTGGGAGAATGTGAAGACTCTCCCCAGTGGTATGACGGCACGAACAATATGAAGGAGACCATTTCCTGATACTCAAGTTCTATGGGTCCCTTTTCTTAAAACTGATTGTTTCCTTATCAGATTTTGTCACATCCCTTTTCCATCTCACCCTTTACCTTTTCTTTCCTCTCATCCACAAAGGAAAAGCTCAACTCATACCCATTCCACCTTCGGTCTTACTGCAATGTGTGGCTATGAGATGCAGAATTCTCTTGCCACCAACAAAGAACTATGAAAACATAAGTGTTAAAGGGAATGACTCTAATTCCAGGCCATGCACTTTTGGCAGGTTAATTTTTGCTCCTTGGTTTTCAGCTAAAATGAAAGAGAACCGATCCAATTAAAAGACTTCAGGCAAAAGATTTTTAATTAGTCTCTTTCATCCTCTTCTTTATATAAACAAGGTTTATCCTGTGACCATCTACACAACTGAAAGTAAAAGTAAGGAACTGATACTAAATCCCATCCTATGATCACAACAGACATTATCCAGCTTTAGGTATTTGAATTAATTGTGGAGAAAAAAAAGAGTCCTATCCATTTCTTTATAATTGCATTTCCAATAAAGTTCTCCTTTCCATGTTAACTATATTAACATTCTTATAAATAATTATTAATGGTGTTTTGGATCAATTGTGTGCATTAATGCTGATAGTTCAAACGAGAGGAAAATTGAACACTTTTAAACCTTACGGCTGCCAGAAATTAGAAAAAAATCTGTTCATTTTATTGCAGAGAAATATAATAGGAAGATTAATAAAAGCCTCTCAAGCATTAAAACACAGAGAAAATTCTGTAGAAGAAATGAAATGGATGTATGCGTTCAAGAAAAACAAAGAACAATGCAGCATATTTTACTGCTAAAAAAGAGTGTCACATATTTTTGGGATGGGTGAAGGTGTGTGGTATTTAGATTTCACTAGGTACATCTAGATGTGTGCTATAGTTTAGTTAAAATGTTAAGCAATTCCAATATGCCAGAGTGTATCTCTTTGTAACTAAAATTATGGTGAAGTATAAAATGTACCTTAAAATGTGTGATAAGCACAACTGAAAAAATTTGGAAGCTGTCTATGTGAGGTAAAAGGTTGTTTTGTGATCCAACGGATGGATAAGCCTACAACAATTTTGTTTTGTTTTGGACTCACACCCAGCAGTGCTCAGGACTTACACCTACTTCACTGTTCAGAGATCATTTCTGGCCCGGCTCAGGGGACCGTGTATGGTGCTGGGGATTGAACAGGGTTGGTGTATCAAGCAAGCGTCCTACCTACTGAACGATTTCTCTAGTCCGCTAGGCTCTTTAAGGTTGTGGGTCTGTTCTGTGGTAGAAGTCTGCCTGCAGTGTTAGGGAATGAGACCAGAAGGGGCTCCTGGTCTGCTTACTGACTGAGAATGTCCATCAAGAGACAACTGATATTTCCCACCTTGTGTGTGTTTGTGTGTAAATCAGTATACTGTTAATGGACTTGAGGGCATATATTTCATTCTCTGTTTGGGCATTTAATTTTACTCTCATTCATGGTCTTGGAATTAACCCCAGGGTTAGTTAACCATTAGAACAACCTAGGAAAGTTGTATAACTCATGGAAGGTAGACACACAATTGATGGGAGGGATTTCAGATATGGATGTGTGGATAAGTAGACAGGTGTATTTTACGTAGCTTCATCAGTATTAGAAATAGAATTCAGAGTGTTTATCCTAATGATAAAGCATACATTCCTGTCTATCAAGGACACGTGCTATTGAATTCTAGGTGTGCAGTTGTTCAATAGAGCACCGTTGTATAGAGAACTGAGCCATCGGATTGAGACATAACAGCCACAAACTTTGACTCAGAGGTTTTGTATGCTGAAGGAGGTGCAGGAAGACAATTGGAGAACTCTAGTATGCGGTAGCAAGCACAAACTTATGCAGAATTTTATATATTAGAAAGTTTTCCTTTGTGTTATTGCTATTGATGAAAACCTTGAAAGCTTTTGCATTGTATCAGAAAAATTATCATGAAAATTAAAACATAATAGAGTCAATAAACCCAATTGTCATTTCATTCTATTATTAGGGAGGTGATATAAAGAGATTTAAAGTAATGGCCTTCCCTATGTCAGTCACTTCCTTCTGTCGGTCCTTCCATTCTCTGATTCATCTTCCTGGCATTTTAAACCTATATCACACCTTCTTAATCTTGTTATTTTATTATCCATGGGATCTTTGAGAAACTTCTCAGAAAAGATCTGGTCCCCTGAGCACCACCAGGAGTGATCCTAATTAGAGCTAGGAGTAACTTCCAAGTACTACAGGGTGTCACCACAAAACCAACACCCCCCCCAAATCTAGGCATTTTATAAATATTTGCTCTTAAGAATTTGAAAATATTATTTTCTGCCATTAATATTTAGTATATAAGAAACAGATTCCTAAATCATTTCTTACATTCTCCTGATTTTTTAAATTCAGATTATTCCCATTTCTGCAGCATAATCACCTAGAAGTAATTATTTTCAGAGTTTTTAAAATTATTGGCTTTGGAAGGCGTTATTAAAATCTCAAAACTGTTGCAATGTTTTCTTTTTCCTTTACCATTGATTGCTTTTTATGTTAGATAGATTAGCATTCTGATAATTACAAATGTTATTTTGGTCAATAGTGTATATTAACAGTGATATTGAAATTGGAAGAAAACAAAAAACCTTAAAAGACCTAAGGTTGTGTTATTATTGTGTGTTATTTTCCCATTAATCACTCCTTCACACACATCATTCATGCATGTGACATGAATGATTATGGTGACACTAGTGACTGGATTCAGTCACAATAAGACATTCTAGGGGAGAAGCCCCAATAACACATTTTTAATGGAATTAAGGGGTGGTTGGAGACATTGCTTATTTTTGTCTTGGGCTCTTGGAGCAAATAGCCACTCTGACTATTGATATGATGGGCAGTTATCCAACAGAGATAGGGACTGATGCAGACTGTCTTGGAGAGCTTCAAGGTCAAGGATGGAAAAAGGCCAGAACCTTTTAGGAAAAAAATGTTCTATATTATTAAGTCACTTGATCACTTGACATCCCGTTACTCATTGATGTGCTCAAGCAGGTGCCAGTAATGTCTCCATTTGTCCCTCTTGAGTGCTAGTGTAGCCCAATGGAGTCTGCTCGCTCCAGGAACACGAAGAACCTCATTCAGGGTCTTGATGAAGAAGTCTGACCATCTTGTAGGTGGGTGGCCACACGATCTTTTGACGCCCCATGAAATCCAATCGGTAATGGCTCTAGTCCAGCAGTCATCTCCAAACCTCATTACGTGTCCAGCCCATCTGATTTTTGACGCCTTGGCAAACGAGAGAGCATCCCCAATTCTCGATCATTGACGAAGGTCAGAACTCTGGATTTCTTCTTTCACTTGAGTAAAGTGTGATACTCCAAGCATAGCTCTTTCAATTCCTCTTTGGAAGACCCAAATAGCATTCTCATCCTGTTTTTGTAGGGCCTAGGTCTCTGATACTATCTCAGAGATATTATTAAGTAGCTATGCGAAAATCTTTCTGCTTTTCTATACTCATTCTTACTTTTGGTTTGCGGGGGGAGTGTTAAGTTTTAAGTGTCTCCTATGAGAACCTTGTATCTTCATAGTTTGCACCTTTTTCCATTCTTCACATGCGTCACAGTTTTCCATGTGTCTTCGCAGAGTTGAGTAAAGACTGTGGATTAGTGGGCTGTCATGGTCTCCCTGTCCTCAAGAAGCCATCGAGGGCTAAGGAGATGGCTTGGAGTGTTCATGTTTATAACAAAGGGCTGGAGTGCATGCTTTGCATGTGAGAGCCCCAGGTTTGATCCCTGGCCCAGGCGTATTTTAGGGTTACCATTTGTGAGTCCTTATTTTACAAGTAAAGGCCACTGTCACTGTCCTCCCGTTGTTCATCGATTTTCTTGAGCGGGACCAGTAAGATCTTCATTTTGAGACTTTGTTGTTACTGTGTTTGGCATATTGAATACGTCGCAGGGAGCTACAAGCAAAGGTATCTTGCTATATTCTCTAGTAGAGACAGACAGACACCAAATCAAGTTGCCACACATAGTCACTGATGACATTGTTATTTGCCATTAGTTTTACAAC